CACACACACACACACACACACACACACACACACACACACACACACACCCACCCACTCACTCACCCACACACACACACACACACACACACACACACACTTCAGGAGCTGAATAGTCTCGTTTTGGTCACGGATTAAAAATCTTTCCACCAAATCCTTTTACATCGTCACAACACCAGAGGTCACCATTCCACACAGAACCAAGACATCAAACCAAAGAGCTAGAGATTCATATTTATCGGTATATTATATATATTACTGTGCTAATGCAGGACTTTTTTTTTCAGTAGATATAAACTCTCCATGCTTAGAATGTACACATACCACACTATGATTCGTTACACAGTTGGTTTTTCAATCATTATTAGTTTAGTTTATTTGTTCGCCGTCGTATCTTCAAGAGTCCGAGTGGAGTTCTGAAAAACGTTGTTTGATTGCAGTCTCCTCCGTTTTGTTGCATTTCTTCATCTTGTGATTTTCTTTTTTTTTATCTCTCCACATCATCTGTTTTTGGTCCTTTTTTTTTCACCATGTCTCTTTTAGTGTCTCTCTCTTTTGTAAATTCTTCATTCTTGCGCTCTCTCTGCCACATGTTGGTCCGGGCCCGTTGCGCTGCTCCATCATCAGCGAGGGGAGACGAGAGGAAGAGGAGGAGGACGGACGACAGGAGGAGGGAGAAGGGGGGATGAGCACGGCAGAGAGAGAAGGACGAAGAGACGGAGAGAGAGAGACAGAGAGGCGTGTCGCCCATTGTGCCATCTGAGTCACTCCTGGTGCAGCGTTGCCGTGGAGACACGCTGACCGGTTTCTGCGGTTACTCCAGCATGGCGTCCAGCTGGTCGGCCAGGTCATCGAACATGCTGCCGATGTCGTCGAGGATGCTCACCGTGGTCTTCTGCTCGGCTACGGAGCTAAAAGCGCACACACACACACACACACACACACACACACACACACACACACACACACACACACAAGCAAAACATTATACCAACCGACGAGCAGATCTAAAGACCATTTGCTAAAACTTAACAAACTAACAAAACATGTTTTACAAATGCCCTTTGATGAACAATCACAGTGTAGTTTGCAAATACAAAATATACCTATTAAAGTAATGCACAACATATTTATAATGCTTCATAAACAAATATATGTCTTACAAGTTCAAAAAATATATCTTTCATGTAACAAAAATACCGTACAAAAAAAGAAAAAATATATCCTACAAGTACAAAAAATATATCCCAGAAGTACAAAGAGTGGTACGCCTCTTGGCTCGCGTTTACACACAGCGCTTAAGCATCAATTTGCAATCTGGGGTGTGTGAACTAGTCATTTACTGTGAAGTCAGCATCAGTTGTGTCTTGTAGAGCAAATGGAAAGATGGATCGAGCTAGTTCTAGTATCACATGGATTACAGCTGAGGCTGATGGGAATGTCATTAGTTTTGCAGGTATTCAGTCATAAACCGATGTGATTATGATTAGTATTTGTGAAGTGTATGTGTTTCCGTGAATATAAGACTGTGTGTGTGTGAGCTTACTCCTCCTGCCGCAGTATCTTATCTTCCACAATCTGCAGAGCCGCGGCCAGCGACGCACTCGTCTCCTCCAGCTTCTGATGCACCAACGAATCCATGCCGAAATCCAGCATCGTAGCGGCCGCCACTCCGCCTCCCGCCATCCCGCTGTCAACCGACACACCCCCAATCGAGGAGCGGGGGGGCTTGACAGGTGGCGGGGTCGGGCTGGGGGTGGCGGGAGTCTGGGGCGTCTGCGGCGTGGTGGGGGTCTGCGGGGTGTGAGGGCTCTGGGGAGACGGGCTCAGCGGCTTGGCGTTTGGCGGGCCGGGGATGTTGGATGGAGGGAAGCAGGGAGGTGAGCTGGTCTGTCGGACCACCGCATGGTGCTGTTTGACCGGGGCAGGGCTCGTGGAGGAGGGGCTGGTCATGGAGTGGATGAGCTTGGCCGGTTTGGGTGCTGTGGGCGGGGGCGCTGGTTTTGGCGAGACAGGTGGAGGGATCTTCTTTCCTTCCACTACAGAAAATGGAGAGACAGGAAAAAAAATGGCAGAATTGATCACTGACTGGCATATGTATCCTGAAATATCACCTTTTTGACAGCTTTTCACGGCCCGTACCCTCGAGTTAGTTGTAGTTTAGTAATCTCGGTAGTGACAGCATGGCACTAGAGGTCAGTGTGCTTCAACCAAAGACCTTTTCAGATGGTCCAGCAACGTCAGAAACCCGTCCTCCAGACCTTTCTGACATTGTGTGTACAAGCAAGCGCAACTCTATCAACGCCTTTGAGGAGAGACTGAAAGTTTGTACCGTCTCTATGACGGCAGCCTTTCACTCTGTCCTCAAGTGTAGCTGTTCAGAACCGCAAAAAAACACTTTTGTCTTCAAACGTGGTTTGGACAACGCAACGTACGAATTCTTTCGTTGCTCGCATAAGGACACCTTTACAGGCTGGTGTACTATAGAGGCGCCTCTATTGCATCAACAAAGTGCTTTTCGATCGATGTCTGAAACCTCCTTCCCCTTTCACCTTTGAATTTAGGGTGAGTAGGTTGCGTCTAACAACTGTTAAAAGTCAGAAACCACCAATCCGCCAATCATGCTTATCAGTACATCGATCGGCCGGGTGTGTCGAAGCACCGCTACTCCTTCTGTCACTTCCCTGTGAACACCCGAATGCCTTTTGTTTGCTAACGTGGTCGGATGGCAAATCCCAAACAAGTTTGTTTCAACCATACTGACACTTTTACTTTGTTAGCTTTAAGGCATCAAACAAAGTGCTTATCAAACAGCATGTAACACTTCCTCGCCTAAACCTTTCCACCGTTGGAATGGAGAGGCTTGTGCAACTTTCTGTAACCTACAGTTTGTACAATTTATCTTGTCCAGCCCCTTTTTATTACGTCCCACCTTCCACTGTGGCCAACTCGGAACAGCCATAAACGCCAAGAGGTTGATTTTACTACAAAGCACCTGCAACATTCAACAGATTTTTTGGACCATTGAAGACCCCTAAATCCATCCTCACCCCCAACTGACAAAAAAACACACAATCATATAATTTGAGTACCTGGGCTTCCAGGCGTCCCAGGGCCAGGCAGAGGGACTCTCTTGTTGGAGACAGGCTGTGGTGGAGTCTGTGGGCCTGCCTGTCTCTTTATCTGTGCCACGACGGGCTTCGGGGAGACCGGAGGCTTCGGTTTTCTCACGGGACCTCCTTCATTTGCCACTGGAGCTCCTTGGTCCACGCTGTCCCTGCGGGGCGCAGCAGCCACTTGCGGTTGAGGTTGAGGTTGCGGCTGCGGCTGCGGCTGCTCGGTCACTCCGGTATCGGACGCCGGGCGGCGTTTCATTGTGGCCGTGCCGTTCTGGTAGGGCACCGGTTGCGTGGTATTCGGCTGCCCGGTCCCCAACGGCTCTCCATTGGTGGCCAGGTCGGCGTAGCCCTCGGGCTCCTTGTCGCGACTCTTGGGCCGCCGCTTGACGGTGGACGATTCCTGGAGGGTGAAGTCGGATCCGTTGGGGTGGGGCTTGGAGCTGCGGGCCCGTCGCTTAAAGGTCGCCGTGGCCTCGACCCTGGAGATGTCCTCCTGCGTGTAACCCCCGTCTCCCTGAGGACCCTCGCCGTCACCCTGCAGACAAACACAAAATACACACTAACGGAAAATTCATATATTCGTGACAAGAGGTAATTTTTGCACAAACAGTCAAAAACATTGACAGAGATAAATGGATAACACAAATAAAGCTTACAGAACACAGAAGCTTCAGTATGGATTTGTAATACATCAAAGCACATTTAACTTTAGCACGTCACATTAGATAGATAGATAGATAGATAGATAGATAGATAGATAGATAGATAGATAGACAAACATATATATAGATAGCTACCTGTCCTTCTCCTTCTCCTCGACTCTGCCGGCGGATGGTCAGGCTACCCTCATCTGCGAACGGCAGGCTCTCCAACGAGCTGCCACTGCCTCCCGAGCTGGGGTGGGGGGAGGACGGAGGGTTGGGGGAGGAAGAATTTTCAGGAAGAGGGGGGTTTTCAGGCTGGACGGAGGGATCCGGGAAAGCAGAGGGAGTTGGTTGCTCGCGCCTGGCAGCCGCCACCAGCTCGCTGACCGGGCCACTGATGGTCCGCCGTCGGTTCACCACTTCACCGTCCAGACCGATGGCATCGCGTGTTTTCCCCACCTGGTGAACACACAGTCAAACAATTGGTCGATCATGCTTTAGTTCATTAACTGCATAAATAAATTCATTTTAGAGTGAATGAACGCCTGGATTTTCTAAAATACCTGCAGGAAATTCTTTTGCAGTGCCATGCCTTTGGCTCCACCTCCGATGGAAGACATCTCCAACATGGCGGCGATGCTCCTCACGCTACCCACGCTACTCACGCTGCTCTTCTCCACCTCAACCGCCTCCACGGACATCCCCAGGTCGCTGGCCCGTCGCTGTTGGTGGTAAGGCACGTCCAGCATCCCCCCCGTGGTAGTGAGCTCGTGCGGCTGCGCGTTGGCCTCCGTCAGGTTGGAGTTGGAGATGGCGGAGCTGGAGCGTTTGGGCGGCGGTGGGGGCGGGCCTTTCTTCTTCTGACGCAGGGAGAAGGGCTGAATCTGGCTGCGGTTGATGGTCTTGTCCTGGTTGCGCACAGAGTGGCTACGGCTGACGCGGTGGGTCACCGTCGCGTATTTGACTCTGTCCCCTCTGGCGACGGCAGAGCCCTGACTTACCACCACTTCTGCCTCTCCCTCTCCTCCTTCCTCTTGTTTCCCACCTCCTTCTGCCCTCTCGTCGCACTCACCGTCCGAGGCGGCGTATCGGTTGAGGCTGTGGGCGCGTTTCTTCTGGAGCGCTGAAGACTCTTCCTCTTCCCCTTCTTCCTCAGCCAGCTCAGCCTCCGGTGGGAGGCAGAGTAGAGGGACCTGTGGTTGTTGGTTCTCCCTCACCTCAGTGACCTGCATCTGCGGATGGTGCTCGGGGTGTGCCTGGTGCTGCGGCAGGACTTGAGGCTGCTGTTGTTGCTGAGGCGGAAACTGAGTACACGGCGGTCCACGTTGGGTTGGAGACTGAGGGTGGGAGCGCGGTGACTGAGGCCTCTCCCCCTGGATGAACTGGGGGCACGGCTTGTGTTTGGCCTGCGGGGAAGCTGTGCTCTGGACGGAGGAGGCGGAGGCGGAGGAGGAGGAAGATGAGGTTCTAGTCTTGGTAGGAGTGTGAGGGGGCGTGTAGGGAGGCGCAGGCATCGAATGGGAGTGGGAGTGACGGTGTTTGCCTTGGGAGGAGACACTGCCTCTGTGGGAGGAGGTGCTTCCCTGGCTGCTCTGCTGCCTCATAGTCCGTGCCTCCTTCTTAGGTGGCCCAGTACCTCCTCCCCCTCCTCCTCCTCCTGTCATCACCTCATCGTGGTCTTTGCTGCGTGTTCGCTGAGCTTTGACCTCCTGACCTGGCTGGGTCATGGCGCTCTGTAGCTCGGTGCTCAACTCACTGTCCTGGAAAGTGCTCATCTTTGGAGACATGACCTCTGAGAAAAACAGAAAGTAAGCCTTGAAATTGATCAACTGGATCAGAATTAATACAAATAAATAAATTAAAATAGGACAGGAGGTTATGACTGTACTGTTAGAGAAATAATAAACTATTTGACCACGGAGAGATCTCAATCCACGGAAACGTCCATCATTTTTAGACAATCGTCTCGTCTGTTAGCTCACCGTCTAGAGGTGGACCGTCCATCGATATGACTTCCTGCTGCTGTGTGATTGGCGGGGGCTTCTTTCTGAGGGAGCCCCGCCCGTCTGAGCTGTGCTGCATTTCGGCCAGCCGCTTCACCGCCAGCATCAGCTTCTTCTGGTGGCCTAAAACATTGTAAGATTGAACAATTACAATTCCTGTTTAATTAAGTTAACTTCTTTAAAGGTAACTATAAATATGAAGTTTTAATCAAAAGAAATCACATTTTCTATTACAATTTGCATTAATATTAAATAAAGGTAGATCTTTCCTCAAATGTGAAAATGGGCTACAACTATGAAGCCCCTAAAAACCAAATATGGTTAAAGGTAATCTGACAAGTCATATATATTTGATCACGTCAAATTATATTTTAAAGCTTTATACTTTACTTTTCATTGGCAATTTTTTTCCACCAAAATGTTCCTATTTTCTGATTTTGCCACTCATTCAGTCATTTATCTATTCCTTATTTTCCCACATAACATTTCCATTTTCACAGTCAGCAGTCGAGAGGACTGTGTGGCTAGCTAGCTTAATTACAAACACCTGTGGCTAAACACACTGAGCAGCAGCCTAGCTACCAAGCTGAAACTATTTTTGTTGTAAAACTAAACCAGCCTGTTAATCAATGTTAATCATCTACATACTGCTGTAGCACTGCTGTATAAACTGTAACAGTAGTTAACGCATTTTAGCCAGCAAGCTAATGCTTACAAACACTGAGCTAGCTAACGCTACTTGAAAGTTCACGCTTCTTTCTTCATTACTTTATAGATAAATGATTGAATGTAGTTAAGTAGTTAAGCTCTTTTTTTTTTACCAACTGCAGGTTGAAAGAAAAGTATATCAGTTTTATTTTTGAATTGTCCCATAAACATTTACCACATTTGGTCAGTTTCAGGGCTCCATTTACAATACGTCTACGCCACACTGGGATTATTTACAACACATTTTGTTAATGTGTTATAGGGCAGCTTGTCTCCTTAGAACATGTAACACATAGAAATGCTGGCCACAGATCCAACCCTGGGCTCAATAAGCTTGCAAGGACCTAGCATAAACTGCTGTACTTGGAGCTGAATTCCAGTGCATTGAAGGGGATACTTTAGTCATCATGGTGGTCATATGTTATGATGTAGAAAAAATGTATATATATATTGAATATCTGTATGTTTACCCAGTTTGCTGATGCCTATTTCCTGCAGGTCCTCCCAGGTGATGTCAGTGATGAACTCGATGTTCTCGTAACCGTTCTGCACCAATACCTGGTGGTACTGACTTAGACCAATAGCAGACAGCCACTCTCCGAGACTGGCCTACAGGAACACCAAGAACATGGCAGCTCATCGGGCTGGTCGGCACTACAGTTGGTAACGTAACATCTAACTGGTTACCAAGCTATGGCGGTGGTGTGTGTGTGTGTGTGTGTGTGTGTTGAATTGTACTCACAGGTTTCTGGTCAGGCAGCCACTCGGTGAGACTTAGTTTGTTAATCTCGGATGTCATCTTCTTTCTGTGACCTGGTTTAGTTATTCCAATAGCTGTCAGATCCTACACACACACACACACACACACACACACACACACACACACACACACA